GCAAACATGATCTAAAAATACAATGGAAGGGTATGTGTGAAAAAATGCTGAAATCCAAAAATGAAGAGAAGATGAAAGGTGAGTGCATCGGTGTGGTGTTTAAGTAAATAATTGCATATATCGAAAACTCAGTCTAAATATTGTGCTGCTTCAGTCGATGGTTTACTTCTTAGGAATTTTATGTTTTTCAACCTTCTCGTTCCAATGTCTTACTATGTTCGTGAATTTTTTTGTTCTTACGAAATTTTTTTAAAGAGCATGAAAGTTTCGCAAAAATGAGAGGGGAGATCGATTATGGATACAGTGATCTTGAATGCTGTTAGAGGTCTGAGGGCGGTTATCGCTTCCCGGTCGCCCACACTGTGGAAGGGTTTTTCTGGAGGTATCAGAAAAGGATATTGGGTTAGAGGTGGTCATAGTGCCCTGAGAGCGTGACCGCAGTGCTCAAGGGAAGACTGCTTAAGGTCGGTCACACACGGCCTTTTTGTGAGTAATTTTCGTGCTAGCTCCGTATTTATTGGAAACTTGCCGCCGGAGATGGAAGTCCGTCGGATAAGGTGAGGTGTGCATTTTTAGGGTCGAACTTTTCTAACCCACTTCTTCTTGCGGGAAAGCAGCATCGCTGTTATGCTGGTTGTCTGAAGGAAACACCTTACTTCCATCACACCTCTGTACAGTCAGCAGTACAACTTCACCCTAGGATCTTGGGTTTGCTGCCTTTATTCTTACTGTTCTTCAACTGACATGTCTGACATGGTAGGACCTTGAGGAACGATCGTTCCAGCCAGTATAGCTCGATTGGTTCATCACGATGGGCAAACCTTACCACCACGTCAATGTAACAGCAACGGTCGGGCTCGCAAAAATACATTCTTTACCCTCTTTCGAGTAGAATCATGGTACACACCTAATCATCGATTTGCTTGGTATGGAAAGTATAGCATTTCATCATTAATTTATGACATGGTAGTTTAACATAAAATGAAATATTGGAAATCCACTCGATCTATTTTGTAGGTACATCAACATATGTTTAGTTTATTAACTTATATTATGTATAGGTTTAATATAACCTATACTCACAGGTATAGGAATATATGTTTATTCTTTGTAGTGCTATATATTGAGCTGAATATGAAACAGACATAGCACTCATACTTGGACTTATGTGTAAATAGCAAACTTTTATCTTTAAATGTCGTGTAATTATGTATTCTTATTTAACTTAGTTGTCTTTTCTACTTGCCATTCTAGAGCAAAACAAAAAAGAAAACGAAAGGTAAATTATTAGTGGAAAGAGAAAATGATTATCAGTTTGGTGTTGATGATGCTCTCCCAGATGAGTATGATGATTTTATGTGAGAATGGGCAATTAAACATTATTGTTTTTTATGAAAAATTATTTCCCTCTCAATAACCATCTCTGTCATTGTTTTTTTCACGCCTTGTTGTTTCTTCAATAAAAATGGAACAACTATTTTTTTACACCAGTAGTGTGTAGTTAAGGAATAGGTATGCTATAACTGCTTGAATTGATATATGATTTGTACATTGAGATTTGTGCATACTATAGTTCTGTACTGTTAACTAAATATGTACGATTTACTTTTCTTGTACATTCTCGCTCATGGTATCTTTTACATAGTCATATGTTTTTTTTCTAAATTATAAAGCTCAGTATGGTGTTAATCGAAAACAATTTAGTAGTATGTAGGAACAGAAATTTTGATCTCCTACTCTCTGTTCTCAGAATACTCTTCCTTTTCTTTTTCCTTAACACTCCATCTTAAATGTAGGTTCGGGTATTTTTGCTTTATTTATTTAGCTTTCGAATTCTGTAATTGCACTAAATTTTTGCTCTATGAATTTTACACATGAAAAGAAACATAACAACTAACGAAAACTAGAAAACGTTCACACATGTTAAAAAAATAAACGGAATACCGATCCATATTTCTTCTGCTTTCCAAGTAAAATCTCTTGAATATTCGTTTGGTTGCACTTTGTTATATTTATTTGGTGATTGTTAGATTTAAGGCAAAATAATATGTGAAAGTAAAACGGGTTCAAAAAAACTAGATGAGTTAGTTGTTTTTCGAAAATATCGTGTAGTGAATACTAAGTACTTAATTGTTAGAAGTGGGGCTTGCAAGATATCTTACTTGTTAATGGTCAGTATTAAATTTAGGTCTTATTAGCTTGGCTGCACAATAGACGGGAGTCATTTGTTTATAACTAATATCCAGACCAACAAATAGAAAAGCTACCTTGTTTACTCAGAGATATTTTATTACAAATCCTGTTACGGAAAATTGTGTCATTCATTTACATCCCGTACATATATAAAAAGATGATCGGGAGGAAACTTTTTAAAAGAATATAGGAATTTTTACGATATGGAAAGTAGGCTGAAACATTGTGTAACAGGGATGAATCAAGCTTACCAGTCAGCTCTTAATTTATTAATCAGTGAGTAACCTGCATCCTACACGAGTATGTTTCTTTCACTAAGGGGAGTATTTCATCTTTCTGACTAGCTGTCATTTGCTATCGGTTCGTTCAAAAAAGATTATGTTAATGGGTCAGTCTTGTGAACACTCAGGCACATTGCTTCACTGCACATCATTAAACGGTCAGCATTCTACCAGGCTTAAGGTTGACCATTCCCAAACTCTCCTTCGTAACACATTTGCATAAGATCTGATCACATTGTCACTATGTTGCGACATTTAAAGTAGCTACTTGGAATTTGGGCGCTATCAAGTAACAGAAGTCGCGCAACCTCTCGGACTCTCATCCAGATAGATGTTAAGTTTTAATTATTATGGTACATGGTTCCATACGTATGACTAGTAATTCATCTTACGAATTACTACTGAGAGAAAAAGCTTAACGTGACTGCGGTAAAACATCCTGGTAATAGTGTCACTGCCAGGAAAGTTTTACTCACCTCGCGGCTGGGGTGTTGTCTACGAAACCGAGAGTACGAAAAGCGAATGTCCGACGCTTTAACTAGGTCGGGTATGGAAGATCCACCTAGGGAAGCCCTGATTCCGAATCGATGATGCACATCGGTTACAGGATCCTAAAGAAACAAATGGTGTGTGAACCTATTGTTGGTCACCGGCCACTATGGAACTGTATTTCCTAACATTGCTCGTCTAAGTTGTGGATTAGACCTCTAGGTCAAAAGCTCAGGTAGTGTCCCCCCCTACCTGCTTCAGTTTTAGGTACCTGGGCACTATACCATCCCTCGCACAAATCATACGGAGTTTGGTGCATATATATTTGCTGCCTCATTGTACCAATGTTTGTGTGATTTCAGTATATTTCCAACGGTATGAGAACTAGTTTTCTATATGTTAATCCCTTCAGTCGAATGTTGTCTGGGTATGCAAGGCGAAAGAGGACAGTTATTGAAGAATCCAGGTAATATTTACTAGTGCATCGAACCCCAGTCTACTTGGTGAGATTTGTCAGAGTAAACCACCGTAAATTTTATGACTCAATAAAGCACAGTACCAGGCGTCTAGTTGCACCAAATATTTTGATAGTCTCGTGTCGTATCATAAACAAGTTCATACAGATACCTAGTCCCTGTGAATCCAAGCTTTGTCTATCGTTCATTAGATAGTAGACTTCAGAAAGAAATATCCTTCGGTGGTAAATGATCACTCTAATGTCTTACGTTATTATTCAGTCAATTGGTCGAAGAGGGGAGAGGACTAGAACAACATAAGGAAATTTGTATTTACAGTTTACCAAGAACATCTCAACTTATGGCTTTGCGACAGTGTTATATTTCCACTCCAACTTAGCACGTCAATCATGAAAAAAATTACTGATATCGCAGCACTTATGCATGTCATGCTATCTAGGTAAATAAAGTACAACTGGATTATGGATAACTTAAGTAAACTAAATAAGTCTATAACAGTAAACGTTTAACTGGACTACATTAGTTACTAGCTGATCATATATGTTTATGCAGTGTATGCAAAGTGACTAAAGGTAATCAAAATTCCAAATAACACTATATAGACCCATAATCTTTCGTTTGCAGTTTTTCTTAAATAAACAGATGAGTGCAGCCGTAAATCTTACGGGTTTCCCTAGAGAACAATTTAGTGCATAAGAGAGTGACAAAGGAGTCTTGTGTGTCCCATAGAATTGATAATTCAATACAACGTTCTTATATGTCCTATGAAACGAGGCAAGTAGAAGAAAACCAAATATGATTACTGTCGAAACCTGTTTAAATAAATTTCTACAAAAACGCAGATTATGAATGATGTCCATATGATTTAATTAAGCATTTCAGTTCTTCAGAGAAAAGCTAGGTTAAGTGATGAGAAATATCAATCTTCAATTATTGAGGAGGGCATATCACGTTACTGATTCATATCTGAACGGTTAGGTATCTTATTATGACTTAAGTTAATTAGTGACAACACCCACATAGTATATAGTCTATATCTGTTCAGGTTTACCAATGATTAATTCTTCTCAAGATACTTAATTTATGCTCAATAAGAAATGCACTATTTTTAATGTATATAATAAGGATTATTCTAATTTAATATCTTATACTGACTATAATTATGCAACAACTAATAAGTTTCTAACGACAGATCTCAATGATGATATTATTAATAAAAAAAATGATTCGATTTAGTATTCGTCTGTTTTACAGGTAATCATTTAACTTTATAGAATTTTTCTAATAAATAATCCACTTAAATTATACTTTATTTTCGAGAAGACAATCAGTAAAACTGAGAAAAAAACGTTCTCATTGACTAAATCAAAAACTATTCAGAAGAGAAAGAAAAGACAATTTTACTCTTTGAAAGTATTTATTATTAAGACTCGAAAATACAGGGGAATCATGATGTAGACAGATTTGAAAATGATATGATATAAAATTTAATTCAACGGTATACTGTTTTTTAAATCTTATTACTTCTAATAATAATTAAATCTTGTTCTTTTGTTCCATTTCAATAGTTGAATTTTGAACGAAGCGATTTTAGTGGTTCAGCTAAAAAAAATTAAAAATTTACATATACGAAATATATCCAATTAAATTCATTGGAACAAATATTGTGTTAATAATACGGATGTGACCATTTATAAATTAATGCTTGTAAACACGAAATGAAAATATTTAAACAATGCTTATGCAGTGAACAAGAACACGAGTGGGAACAATCGTGTGCATTTGACACGAAATTACAGAGCATCTCACTAAAATCTGAGAACCATATATTAAATCTTTAATTTGCAAAATATCAATCCATCATCTCAAACTTCACTGTTCCTTTTGCAAATATCAGTCCATTGTCTCAGATTTCACTGTTCAGGCATTTTCATACCAATTGCGTTCCGTTTTCTTTCTTTCCTTATCGATTTTCTACTGAAATACATCCTATGCCTGACCACCGTTATGCACTACTTATATGGATATCAGTAACCCACACCACACTTATACCTACTATTTAGAATTCAATAGTTTTTAAAGTATAATACATTTTAAAGGGTTTGGTTCAAGGTAAGATTGATTTCTTATTTTAGTTTGGCAGATACAAAACCATTCACAGGATCACATTACACAGAATTAAATCGACCATATCTGCATCAACAAAAAGTTCAAGAGGACGATGGAGGATGTGAGAACCAAGAGAGGAGATGATATAGCATCAAATCATCACTTGCTGGTGGCCAAGATGAAATTGAAACTCAAGAAGCACTGGACAACGTCACAAAATTTTAATACGGCTTTTCTTCGAAGTACTGACAAACCAAACGAATTCAAGATAACCCTCAGCAATAGGTTCCAGGTCTTTCATGATCTACTCAATAGAGAGGGAACTACTATGGAGAACAACTGGAAAGGGATCAAAGAGGCAATCACTTCAACATGTCATGAGGTTCTGGACCACAAGAAGCACCATCACAAGGAATGGATAACTGTTGATACACTGGATATGGTTGAAGAAATGAGGAACAAGAAGGCAGCAATCAATATCAGCCGAACAAGAGCAGATAAAGCCATGACACAAACCGAACACACAGAAGTAAACGAGCAGGTGAAGAGTAGCATCAGAACCGACAAACGTAAATATGTGGAAGATCTAGCAATGACGGGGGAAAAGGCTGCAAGAGAAGGAATCATGAGACAATTGTATGATGCAAGAAGAAACTCCCTGGAAATCATCGTAAACCAGAACGACCAGTGAAAAACAAGGAAGGCAAAGTAATCGCCAACGTTGAAGAACAGCGAAGCAGGTGGGAAGAACACTTCAAAGAACTCTTGAATCGACCAGCTTCACTGCACCAAACCAACATCGAAGTAGTAACCACCGACCTCCCAATCGATGTTGGCCCACCAACAATAAAAGAGACCAGCATGATCATCAGACAAATTATTTATTTATTTGAACACATAAATATTGGTACAAGAGAGCGCCAATGTATATGCGCCACACAAAACAATGAGAATTCGAAGAGAAAGAAAAAAGGTAAGGAGCGTGAAAGAAAAGAACAATAACGAAGAGGTTGGTGTAAGGTAGTGTAGTAATAATAATAGTAATAATGGGGGAACGGAAAGGTACAATCAGAATAAATCTTTCAGTTAAGGAAGAAACAATCACTTTTTATGAAGAAAGTAAAAGAAGGTTACAGAACGATCGCTACTGGCTTTTACTCTGAGCCATATCTGATAACGTCTCTAGCCACTGTGTAGCACCATCTCTCAAACCTCAACCTGGGAGTCGTGAAGGACCAACACAAGCCAGTTCTTTGCAGCTTTCTTTCATACCACGACACCATGTCATATATTGACCACCTCTCCGCTTCTTTCAACCAGTCCCAGAGCCGGCAAATAATGCACGACGTGGAATTCTCTGGGACGACATTCAGAGAACATGTCCAAGCCACCGAAGTCGGTGTTTCAAAATGGTGATACCAATTGGATTATCGTCTCTCCGCCCGAACACACGATGCCCAACCTATGCATTATTAACATGGTGTTGCCCCTGTATATCAGCCATCCTTCGGAGACAGCGATGATCGAACACAGAGTCGTCTAACGTCCTCAACTCGGAGAGGCCAGGTTTCACAGTCAGTCAGCTACAACGTAGGACCAGGCACATATGTGCATCGGTCCAGGTTGCCATACCGCATCAGCACAACGAGATGAACACCGGATTCATAGCAGTGGTTAGGTCAAAGGTGTTAATATATAAGAGAAAGATTGCATATAGAGATATAGTACAAGAAGAAAGAATTGGTTCGTAGAAAGAAAGATATGAAGTGATTTTAATCTCTTAGTTTAAGGGAAGACAGGGAGTGTATACACCGACGCCATTGTGATCGACTCTGAGCCATGTCACCAAGAGTCTCCAACCATTGGTTACGAAAGTCACGCGGACCCCAAACAAGTAGTCTGCATCTACCAACATGGCTCAGACTAGAGGTTAGTGACTTCAATCACTGATGCCACGTTTTGGTTTGGCCGCCCCTAACTTTCTTCCAACCAACTCCAATACCGGATAGCATTGTACGTCGTGGTAGTCGGTGTTCAGGCATACGTAACACGTGGCCCAACCATCTCAGTCGATGAAGATTCATAACCTCATCAACTGATTTACCATCATTCCCTAATACCCTGCGTCTAACCTCACTATTACTTACACGGTGATACCAGCAGATGCCCGCAATATTTCTAAGGTATCTGTGGTCTGTGGGCTGATCAGACTTCCAAGATAAGTGAAGTTGTCAACGCGTTCGACTGCTTCACTCCCTGTCCTTAGTTCAGATGTTGACGCAGGCCAGTCCTGAAGCAACAACTTGCACTTAGAGGGAGAGAAGCGCATTCCAAACATTCTGGGATTGTTGCTTAGTGCTACCAAAAGACTCTGCATTTTGTCAGCGTCTTCACCAAACAGGACTATGTCATCTGCGTATTCTAAGTCGATAAGTGGACCTCCTGGATGGAGATCAATACCCGAGAACTCAGTCGACGAGAATGTTATTTCCATCAGTAGGTCTATGATGAAGTTAAATAAAAATGGGGAAAGTGGACAGCCTTGACGGACACCACTTGAGGTTGCAAAAGTAGATGACAGTTCGCCATAAGCTCTGACTCGACTAGTAGTGTTCGAGTAAAGAGCCTTCACAAGGTTTATGTACTTCTGTGGTACGCCTTTCAATGACAGACACTGCCACAGAATCTCGCGGTCTACCGAGTCAAATGCTGCTTTTAAGTCAAGAAAGACCACCATTGTCGGACGTCCATAAGTATGCCTGTGTTCTAGAACCTGACGAATCGTGAATATGTGGTCGATGCAGCCACGACCAGGTCTGAAGCCAGCTTGATTCTCTCGTGTTTGCAGTTCACAAGTCTTAGTTAGGCGTCTGATAATTATCGAGGCTAGTATTTTAGATATTATATTAGTTAAACTAATCCCTCTGTGGTTGTCACAGGATGATTTTGACCCTTTCTTATATATTGGGACGATAAGTGATTGTGACCAGTCAGATGGGATAACGTCTAACTCCCAGATCTTAGCTAAAATATTAGTCAACCTAATCGCTAAAATTGGACCACCATCCTTAAAGACTTCTGGAGCCAGTCCATTTGGACCAGCTGCCCTTCCTCGCTTCAGATTAACTATAGCCTTTTGAACTTCAGCAAGAGTTGGGGGACCTACTTCAATGTTCCATTCACACTGTCTGGGAATGGAGGGTAGTTGTAGAGTAGCTGAAGGCCAGTTGAACTGTTCTCTGAAATGTTCCGCCCATCGTTCTAAACGTCTGGACTGGGAGCAGATGAGAGTATCGTCTTTTTCCGATATAATCTCACTTACACTTGACTTATTAATTCCAGTTTCTTTTATTAGTCTGTAAAGCTGTCTTGTGTTCCCTATAGTCGCCGCCTTTTCCATCTCTTTTGCTTTCATTGCCCACCACTGCTCACGGTCGTTTCTTAGACTTTTTCTTAACCTAGATCTGATTTGTTGTCGCTCTTCATCATGTTCGGAACCTGATGGGACAAGTTTGCGAGAATCCATCAGTGCAATAGACCTTGAGGAAATCCATTGGTTCTTTGTAACTCTGTGGTTTAAATCACTGATAGATGACACTGCTGTTTCCACAGCTGTTTGTATATCTTTCCAAGCAACATCTGGGTCAGCCTCGTCTTCAAAACTACCTAATTGTGACCTCAGTTGTTCCTGGAACCTACTTTTGGTTTTCTCGTTACTCAATTCAGTTCTAATGGGTCTTTTTAATGTGGCTTTTTTTGCGTTCAGTGAGGCGCAAGCAGATGCGTTCCCGTATTAGGGCGTGATCGGAGTCCAAACAGATACTCCAGAATGAGCGACAATCTTCTACCGACCCTCTCCAACAATGACTGATGGCAATATAGTCTATTTGAGTCCATCGTTGGTTTGGTGTAGGGGGTCGCCATGTTAGACGATGTCTCTCCTTATGCTTAAAATTTGTGTTTGCTAAAAATAAGCGATTGTCTGAGCATAGTTGCAGCAGACGGTCACCATTATCTGTTCGCTGTGCCGGAATACTAAAATATCCACCTAAATGCCTTTCTGTTTGGTTTAAGCTACCTATCTGAGCATTAAAGTCACCCCCTATGAGTACTATGTCTGAGCGTTTAGCTTTCTGAAGAAGTTCAGAAAGCTTTCTGTAAAATTCATCTTTCACATCATCTGAGCTGCAGTCAGTGGGAGCGTAGGCAGAAACGACGAAAAGGCAACGACGTGTGTCCCTATCCTTCCGAGTTCTTACGGAGCCGTTTAGCCGAACAGCACATAAACGACTGTTGACGGGGATCCACTCTAGCAGTGCTTGTTCGGCCCTCATGCTTAGTGCTATGCCTACACCTGCCAGTCCACGAGAACTGGCCATCGGGTCACCAGAGGTGAGGTCAAGTGAATGACCACACTGGAATCCTGTATGCGTGTTTCGGAGACACAGCATACATCAATGGAAAGAGACTCTAGGGTTTTAGCCAAGGAAGCCTGCTGACCGATTTGACATAGGGTACATTGAAGGCTCCAATGTGTAGTTTGGAGCGAGGTTTCAGTAGACCTGGGACAGAGTTTTGAGCACTAGAATCGTTGGCTATGGTGACACTTGAGGAGGAAGCCGAAAGAGGAAGTTTAGAGTTTGAAGTCGATGTAGGAGGAATAATAGGAATTGAAGAGGAAGGTTGATTATGAATACAGTGGTCTTGGGTGCTGTTAGAGGTATGAGGGCGGTTATCACTTCCCGGTTGCCCACACCGAGGAAGGGTTCTTCTGGAGGTACCTGAAAAGGAAATTGGATTAGAGGTGGTCTCAGTGACCTGAGAGCGTGACCGCAGTGCCCAAGGGACAACTGCTTGAGGCCGGTCGCGCACGGCCTTTTCGTGGGAGGTTTTTGACGTGTTAGCTCCGTTCTTCAAAGGGCCTTACCGCCGGAGACGGAAATCCGTGAGGTAAGGTGAGGTGTGCATTTTTAGGGTCGACCTGTTTTAACCCCACCCCTCCTTGTGGGAAGGTAGCATCGCTGTCATGCTGATTGTCTGAAGGAAACACCTTACTGCTGTCACACCTCTGTACAGTCAGCAGTACGACTTCGCCTTCGGACCTTGGGTTTGTTGCTTTTAGTCTTACCGCTCTTTAACTGACATGTCTGACATGGTAGGACCTTGAGGAACGATCGTTTCAGCCAGTATAGCTCGGTTGCTTCATCACGATAGGCAAGCCCGACCACCACGTCAAGGTAGCAACAACGGTCGGTCGGTTTCACAAGCATAGAGCAAAACTGCTCTCACCACCGCGTTGTAGATCCGACATTTTACAGCCAGACTAACATCACGAAGGCGCCAAAGATGGCCCAGATTGGCATAAGGCGCTCTGGCTTTCACTATACGTGCATTAATCTCATCACTCACACTCCCACCAGCACTTATGCAGCTACCCAGATACACGAACTTCTCGACTATTTCTATCGCGAGTCAATCTCGAGTTTAGAACAACCTACGAAGTATGACGGAAGCCAATAGCTTGGACGCAATCGGAAGTAGACTTATCCTCCGATAGTTGTTACAGGAACGACGTGAACCCTTTTTTAAAGATAGGGACAACTATTGACTCATTCCATGACGTTGGTACACTCTCTAGTTCCCAAACCTTTGTAAACAACGCCGTCAAGAGCGGCAAAGCAGCGGGACCAGAAAACATTCCAGCAGAGGCACTAAAGACAGACGTAGCAGTAACTGCAATGTACTCCACATTCTCTTCAGCAAGATTTGGGATGAAGAACAAGTACCGACAGACTGGAAAGAAGAACACTTGATCAAGATACCGAAGAAAGGCGATCTCAGCAAGTGTGAGGAATTCATCACTAAATCAACTTCATTGACTACGAGAAAGCATTTGATCGCGTGAACAGAACATTATAGAAACGTCTTCGACATACGGCGTGCCTGAGATAGTCAATATGATATGGAACTCCTATGATGGATTAAACTGCAAAATTGTGCATGGAGGACAGTTGACAAAGTCGTTCGAAGTGAAGACCGGTGTCAGGCAAGGTTGCTTACACTCACCATTACTCTTTCTCCTGGCGATCGACTGGATCATGAAAACGTCGACATCCGGAGGGAGGCATGGGATGCAGTGGACAGATAGGATGCAGCTGTGTGACTTCCCAGATGATATGGCTCTTCTGTCACACGCAACAACAAATGCCGGAGAAGATAACCGGTGTAGCAGAAGTAGGTCTCAACATGCACAATGGGAAAAGCAAGATTCTCCGATACAACACAACATGCATCAATGGAATCACACTCCACGGAGAAGCTTTGAAAGATGTGAAAAGCTTTACATATCTGCGCAGCATCATCGATGAACACGGTGGATCTGATGCATATGTGAATGCGAGGATCGGCAAGGCAAGAGCAGCATATTTACAACTGGAGAACATCTGGAACTCAAAACAACTGTCTGTCAACCAACACCAAGGTCAGGATTTTCAATACAATTGTCAAGACAGTTCTACTGTATGGGGCAGAAACCTGGAGAACTACGAAAGCCATCATCCAGAAAGTACAGGTGTTTATTAACAGTTGTCTACGCAAGGTACTTCGGATCCGTTGGCCGGAAACTATTAGCAACAACCTACTGTGGGAGAGAACAAACCAGATCCCAGTGGAGGAAGAAATCAGGAAGAAGCGCTGGAAGTGGATAGGACACACATTGAAGAAAGCACCTAACTGCGCCACAAGGCGAAGAGGAAGACCAAAGAACACATGAGAAGAATGGACAACAATTGGATAGGACTAGAAAAGAAGGCCCAGGACAAGGTGGGTTGGAGAATGCTGGTCGGCGGCCTATCAGTCAGTAACAATGTAGAACTTCGTACGTACGGCGGCCTATGCTCCACTGGGAGTAACAGGCGTAAGTAAGTAAGATACAAAGCCAACGGCAGACAAAAAAGCACTACGGCTATTGTTTTATTGTAGTTTGAGGCTCTTTAGTAACGCCTACATACAACTGAATAGTCGAACTGAGCACAGAATATTCTGATTTTCTGGTGATAAAATTCACCAACTATATATGGATGTAGTGGCTCACTAACGACATCAGATATAAACTGTGCTACATTGTGAGTCGACTGACAACGAAAAATTAGTCAACAATATTACCGACAAGGTTTTGGACGATTATGATAGATTCAACTATGCTTACAGTCATAGGATAAACGATTGCATGATGGGTGATGTTCAGCTAGTTTTTTAGACGATATCATTTGGTATGAATTTTGATCAGTAATGGTTGGTATATGTGTAACGGCACCTCGATATAACCATTATATCGCAATTTTATAAAGAATAGAAGGAATGGGATAGCAGTGGGATCTAGGAGGTGCGTTTCTTGCTGTTTGAAACTGAATAGTCAAATTTACATGTACAAGTAGGTGGCTACTTGGATTCATTTAGATGGGAGGATGACGCGTTCGGATCTGAACCCCGGTGTGAACATTAACTCTGGGAAGCAGGAACGTTCAGTCGATGAGTCCAAAATAGCAAGAAACGCGTCCTAGATCCCGTTGCCAAAATATTTCTTCTATTTACAACTATCTCACACATTGTAAAATATTAGTATCCAGTCATTTGTATTTTAAATAGTAAGTATAAGAAACAATTACATATTCAGAAGGATTGTCTTCAAGAATTTCGGAGTGATGAAGTGGATATTCAAAGTGTCATTTAATTGCTAAAAGGTGAGATAGAACAAAAGTGGAAAATATGAGATATTCAGTAAGCATTTACCTGCTTTAAAATGGATAATGTCAGTAAAGTGAAATTGTTTTAAGAATAAACTGAAACCATTCATGGTATGCATCAAACATGGTGACACGGAATTCCATGTTAAACTTTACAGTTGAACTATGAAACACTATACTATAGATTTGTGATTAAGTATTTTATACATAAATCAAATGTAATGTAGCGTGGTGGCCTTTGTTTCAAATATCAGACGAAAATATAACTTACCTGATATTAAACAGATTTCTACATCGGCACCAGCCCGGACAAGTACATCAAGCCACATTATTTGTTGAGTGGATAAATGGTCTCCGGATCCTTTAACTTCTACAATCTACATTTGAAATACGATAAATAATAGTAAGTTATGACAGCGATAAGCAGATTATTTAAATACTCAAATTAAATAAAAGTAGAATCTTCATAACTGAAACTTAAACAATAAGCTACCTGAATTACTACAGAATCAATAGTGCAATGGTGAGAGAATAGCAGACAACTTTAAAACTGAATAGAAAGGTTTCAATAATATATGACTGACTTACACAGAGGGACAGTTGTTTGCTCTTGAAAAAAGAGAAATAGCAAATATATGCATTAATTAAGGTTGCCTGACGACGAGCTATTGAAAAAATGTGGGTATTTGGATTCAGAAGCTTAGTTGGTTATGAGTTATATTTTGAAGTGATAAGTACTGGGATCAGAATTTCAGTGTAAACATCAACACTGAGATGCAGTTACATCCAACTGATTAGCCCTAAACTCTCATCCTATATTTTCACCGCTATAAATAATCGAAATATTACTAAAAACTCGTAATCAAAAGGCAATGTTGGGGATTCTCTGTAAGCTATACATATATCAACAATGAAAGATTAATTACAGTACTAACTGTCAACAGTAGGGAAATACAAAAAGTGGGGAATAACAGTCTTCTATTGTTTGATTAAGTTACGTGAATTCATTACGACTATTTACATGAGTTAACAGAATTTGTTATATAAAGTAATATTTCATTGGTACGATAGAATCCTTTTTCTGTTCTCGTGTTTCATTTTAAATGATTATTGATCCAATTAATTATTTCTCATTAAAGATTCGTATTGTTTATCATTTGATCTGATATTTATTATACTTATGAGTTCACTCTAACATAAGTTTCCATTCATTTTATCTTTATTCTTTTAGATGAATCATCGTATATACTCTATGTATAAACTTTTGAAAGTCTTCAACGTGACTGCAAAGTCACTTGCACTTAGGAAATAACACTTATTATAAATTAACACAAATAATATAATGATCTAGATAGGACCAAACACGGAAGTTTCAGACTAATTTATACAAAAACTTAGGAAGAACACCGGAAATTTCGTCAAATATGACAAGAAATCTGAAATGAAATAGAAAGATTTCGTACCTTAGCTCGCGTTTCTTTAGGACTCCATAATAAAAGATCAGGAAGACCCGACCTCCAACTTCTGTAGTCTGTAGCTAATTTACGACAAACATCGTGAACGACACAAGGTCCAAGACACCAAAATATATCCTGAAATGAAAAATTCCTATAATTCCTTATTTACGGGGTTGCTATTATTCTATAAATTGTCACTAAAAAATTACAAATAGAAAACTTTCGGTTGTATAATAAACCACATTCAAAGAAAAAAATGCTTAAAATTTTATTATGATAAAGGTTAACAGAAACCTGTGCTTATGTGTTTGGTGGCCTTTGCCGAGATAAGACTGTCAACAGATGCCTACTATTTGTGCTTATCGAAACTCTAAATTTCAACGACCTTTAGATAGATATGTGGATGCTTCAAAACGATCGAACACATTACTATCCCTCAGCTGTATGAAGGGAAAACACTTAGTTAGATTTATGAAAGTAGTAGTCATAAAGAAAATATCATTGTTTCAAATATGTCGTTTCGTATTGTTTTTTCCCCCAAAATATTTCTATAAATTGAATGAATTCACTTAGTTATAATTCTTTTAACTATAGAAATACTGTAGTGAAGAAGAACACGGGTGAGGACAGCCAAATTGTATTTAGGACAAATTACAGAATTACTTGGTAAAATAGAAAAACCATATAGTAAATCGTTAATTTGCAAAATATCATTCTATCATATCAAACCGGGCTGTTGCTGTTGCAAACATCAATCCATTGTCTCGCATTTCATTGCTCATGCAGTTTCTAACAAATTCCATTGTTTTCTCGCTCTTCTTTTCTTGATCTTCTCCGTCTTCTGCTGCCAGACATTACGTTCTTTTGACTCACGTTATATACTACTTATATCAATATAAGTAGTACGCACCACACTCGTCCCCCCTTTTAACAAGTTGCTGTCGTAGTCTTTCTGATCTCCGTACCGCTGTGTTCTTTGGCGCTTTTCGTGATTCACACCCATGATGATCTTGAAACCATCTCTGCAGTTGACTAGCATTTACGCGCTTCTGCTTGTCTTCTCTCCGGATCGTGTAAACCGAGCCGCGTCTCTCCGTGATAACATACGGTCCTTCCCATTTTGGGGCCAGCTTCCCCGACCCTGCTCCCCCTGCTATGTTACTTTTTCGTTCTCTACACTTTACTAGGTCCCCCACTGCAAAGGGCTTCCACGTTCTCCTCTGTTGTTCTGCCTTCTTTGTGTCTGATATTTGTTTCTTTTCCACGTTCCTTATTGCCTCTCTCCTCTCTTTTCTTAACCTTGTTGTTGTCCACTTCTGTTGTTGTGGCCAGGTCTTATTATGCATTGGAAGTCGTGGTTGTCTGCCATACATGAGCAAAAAAGGTGACTTCTTGGTTGTTCCTTGTGTGGAGGAACGATGTGCCAGCAAAATCAATGGTAACTCTTTCTCCCAATTTCCTCCTTTTGATGCTAACCATTCCTTTAACGTCCGATTGTTTCTCTCTGTAAGCCCGTTTGTCTGAGGATGATACGGTGTAGTTCGTATTCTCTTGATGCCAAACTGCTTTAAACGGGCTTTAAACTCGTCACTTTCAAAACAGGGACCCTGGTCAGTTAATATCATCTTCGGTATTCCGTGACACGCTACAATATGCCGGATTACCACCTCGGTCACTGTCCTTGCCCGCTGGTCTGCAATGGGTACGGCATCTACCCAACGTGTAGCATCTTCCGTCATCACTAACAGGTACTGGTTACCGCTCGCCGTCTGTGGAAACGGTCCCATCACATCCACCGACCATAAATCACCGACTGCGGTTACTGGGATTGACTGTAATGGCGGTTGTGTGTATCGATCGCTTTTCATTAGCTGACACTGCTGGCAGGTTAACACGTATTCAGCCACATCTTCTCTCATGCTCGGCCAGTATGCACTTTGTCGTAGTAAGTCCGTCGTTCTTGCGATGCCTGTATGTGCTACCTGGTGACACTCGTGTATCACTTTACGCCGCCAGTCTTTCGGGATCACCGCCACCCAATTCTCATCATCGTCCTGCCAGGTCAGCACTCCATATGAGTTCACTCTCAGTCGGTCCTTTTGCCGAAGCAGCGTTATTACCTCCTTGTTCATTGTTCGTTTATCTACGTCTGCTCCCTCTTTTATCACTCTGATTACCTCTCGAAGGTTAGGGTCAGCTTTCTGCTGCCGGACGAGTTCTAATGGGTCTCCCTCTAAACTATTCACCGCGTATGCTGTTAATGGCAGGTCGGCTTCCATGTCTGGTCTTGACAAGTAATCTGCCATTACGTTTTCTTTTCCTGGAACATGGCCGATACTGAAATCGTATTCTTGCAGGCGTATCATCCATCGCGCCAACTTCCCTCGGGGGTCTCTTGCTGTTTTCAACCACTGCAGGGGTTTATGGTCGGTCTCAATGTGAAATCGTCTACCTAAAAGGTATGGTCTCCATTTTTCCACTGCCCACACGATCGCTAAACACTCCTTTTCGATGGTTGAATACTTCTGTTCAGCAGGTGTGAGGACGCGACTCGCGTATTCCACCACTCTATCAGCCTGACTCAACACAGCACCTATACCATGATCACTCGCGTCTGTGGCCACTGTAAACAGTCTTCCCGGTTCAGGCAGTCTAAGCGTCATCTGGCGATCGTCTAGCATGTTTTTGATTCGGTTGAACGTTTGTTCGGCAGTCTCAGTCCACGTAAACTTGGTGCTGCTCAATAACTTATATAAGGGTGCTGCTATTTCGTTGAAATTTTTGACAAACCGACTGTAGAACGCCGCTCTTCCCAGGAACTGTCTCAACTTCCTTTTCGAATTAGGTACTGCAATATTTTTTATGGTAAGAATTTTCTCCGGCAATGGTTTTATTTCTCCATTTCCCACTTTATGTCCCAACAATGTGACGCTACTTTTCGCTATCTGCGACTTGTCCTTATTAATCCGAAGTCCAAATTCGTCAATTCGCTTTAAGACCGCTTCCACATGCTTGATGTGATCTGTTTCTGTTTGACTGTACACAACTACATCGTCGCCATATACCTCGACATTATCTAGATTCTTGAGCAGTAGTGTCATTAATCTTCTGAACGTGAACGGTGCACCCGCCAACCCGAACGGCATTCGTTTAAATTGATACTGTTTATCACGTACAGTAAACGCTGTCTTGCTCCGATCAGTCTCTTTTATAGGCAGTTGCCAATAACCTGACCGTAAATCCAGCACTGTAAACACCGTGGCCTTCTGTAGCCGATCTAATGTTTCCACCACTGTTGGCATTGCACAAGGCTTCAGGTCTGTTATATTATTCAATTCTCTGAAGTCGACACAAAATCTATACTTTCCATTTGGTTTCTTTACCAAGAGTACCGGCGAGCTATATGGGCTGTCCGCTTCCTCAATTATACCTTCTTTTAACATTTCCTGAACCTGACGATTTACCTCGGCCTCTAAATGCACCGGGACACGACGTGTTGCAAATATATTTACTCGACTGTTCTTTATCGGTATTTCGTGCTTTACTCTGTCACAAAATCCATACGGCTCCCCATCTCCAGTGAATAGTTTCGCATACTTTTTGCATAACTCGTGAATGTTTGGTTTCTTTGACGAGACATCCGCTGCAACTCTTATTTCAGCCACTTCGCTACTTTCGTGTATTGTCAATGAACCATATTTCGTGACCACCTTACCGCTTCTTAAGTCAACTATCGCTTTTACTTCTCTTAGGAAATCTGCTCCTAATATCGGTCTCGATAAGCTTGTGGTTACGACGAACGGAAAATTTATCTCCGCATCCCCCACTTTCACGATACTGTTAGATACGCCAAACACCTCTAACATATGGCCCCCTATCGTGTGGACAGCTAATGTACACGGCTTGATTCTCTTACATTGCTCTTTGCCTATTAACGATACTGCTGCACCTGTATCGATCAGACAAACTAAATCTCGCTCATTTATGTTCACTCTCGTATATACTGCCCCTCTGTCTACTAACGCAACAATCCCCAGATTCCTAGGATAGAAAGAACACTCGTTGTAACGTCTAACATATCTGCGTCTTCGTCTTGTTGGACAGTTTATCTTCCAATGTCCTGTCCCTCCACAAGCGTAACATTTATCGTTCCTTTTATTGTTCACTCGTATTGCTGCAACCTCGCGCTCCAGCTCCTCAATCTTCTTCTCGACATTACTCATCTCCTGCTTTGCGCACCCGACCGGAGCTACTGTTCGCGTCATCAGCTGACGAGTCACCTTCGCCAGTTCACTGATATCCATTGGTTGCGCTGCGTTCACCAGTTTCAGCTGTTGGGAGACGGTGGCAGGCACACTCTCGATAAACTGTGACGCCAACAACTGTGCCTCCGACTCCTCATCCAGACTCGGCAGCGCACGGCGTAACAATCTGGTAAGCTCCACAGCCAGCACCAGTGGGTCCCCATCGACCGGCAACCTCGCCAACCGGAATTTCTGCAGCGCGTCTTCTCTGTCCACTGGGCTGCCAAACTCCGCCGCCAGCCGCTCCGTGACTGCCTCCCATGTGGTCTTCCCGCCAGCACCGTCCAGGCTGTCATACACAGCCTTCGCCCTGCCTCTCAGCAGCGTCCCCAGCACCACCAACTTCGCCTTCGGCTCCTTCACTCCCACCAGCTCCGCCGCGGCCTCAAACTCCTTCAGGAAACTCAGCACATCTCCGTCCTCAAACTCCTTCGGCCATGGAATCTTCATCCTTAGTGAAGGCAGCGACACCAAATGTAGTGAAGAAGAACACGGATGAGGACAGCCAAATTGTATTTAGGACAAATTACAGAATTACTTGGTAAAATAGAAAAACCATATAGTAAATCGTTAATTTGCAAAATATCATTCTATCATATCAAACCGGGCTGTTGCTGTTGCAAACATCAATCCATTGTCTCGCATTTCATTGCTCATGCAGTTTCTAACAAATTCCATTGTTTTCTCGCTCTTCTTTTCTTGATCTTCTCCGTCTTCTGCTGCCAGACATTACGTTCTTTTGACTCACGTTATATACTACTTATATCAATATAAGTAGTACGCACCACAATACAATACAATACAGATTCATCTACTCAGTTTTCAACCACACTATTATCTATGCGAAAGAATTAGTGAGATTGCCAAAATGTTCCAACCTGAAACCGAATGATTTAAAGTAATTTGCTTTACAGTTATACAACTTTAAACTCACAATATTGAAAGGCAGTCTAAAAATTAAACTTTAATTTAAAAAAAGGATTAAAGCTTTTGGGTAACTATTTAATTGTTAGCTTAATGCATCATTGGTTGAATGATATAAAGACAAAACAGAAATCACCTAAAATTTAGCGGACGAAACCAAATAAATGAAATAGAAATAAATAAATATGATTAACTCACTATAAGCTCCTGTGAATTTTCCAATAAATCCCAATTAGCCCACAAACAACGTTCACCATTATGCATCTCCCAATAAGTATGAATACGAAATTCCAAAGAATTAGAATGCTAAATAATTTTTAAAGGAAGGAAAAGCAGTAAATCTATTTATTTCTCAATGAAAATGAAGCGGTTTTAGAAGAATATGTAATACAGGGTACACTAAGAATAACCTCGATTAGAAAATCTAAACACCTACACACATATAAAGATTTAGACAACTCTTCCTCAAGTTTTTTATCTACAATCTCTTGATATACTGAATATTTCGAAAAATATATAGTTAAGGAAAGTCATCGTGTGCATGCGCACATGTTTTGGAAGAAATTCTTACCAAAACTATAATTTAACTATATATGAGGTTCCTAAAGCTGATGGCTGAAATGCTTAAAAAATCTGTTGCTAATGACTCAGAAATAACCAGAGATTCACATAGCTGATACAGGGTTGGATGAAGTTCATTGAAATATTTGTTAAACATCCTGTCTCTCAAATATATCCAGTTAAAAGTACGAAACCCCTACCACTGGTTTTGACAACTGGAGAGTATTAACAGGCTAAAAAATTAGTACGTAACAAAGTACTTGATGAGTAACGTTAAATTACTTAACCAGTTGCATACACATAAAAGAGTGAATTGATCGAATACCCCAAATTGAGTCTGTTTTATGAAAACATCTTAAATCATATTGATTCTAACAAAATGTTCTAACATTTCTCATTAATAAAAGTAATAATTCACACCTTACTAACTCAATTCTTTTCATTTTTTCACATAATTTAATTAACATTCAGAATTGAAAGCTTATGAGTAGTACTTCAATTATTATCTGAGAATACAATCTCTGTCAGATGACTCACATGAAATGAATAATTACGTAAATACATTGATGAATTACTTTGTCTTCTGATCATTATAAATGCATAGGATAGCGCCAAATGTAATTTAGCTTAACCGATTTACGGTAACGATTCTATCTGTTAGCTTTTGTTATTGTTATTCTGTACAGTTGTTTAAAGTATAACAATCAATGATCTTTCTTCAAACAAATAATGATCAGAACTAGCATCGTCTATAGAAACAATGGGTAAATATTTTGTGTATTAGGCTAAAATGGGAATGGATTAATTTATCACCTATACATGCTGATTGCCCATGTTTACATCGACAAGATTGAATTTATTTGAAAATTAGTACTAATTATAATTGCTTACATCATCTGATTGATCAACAGCCAAGAGCCATTGCAATCTAGCATCGATTAAATCTTTTCTCGACTGATAAAATTCATCTGTAAATAAATCTAATGGCGCTGACTGACGATATGAATAGAAGACGTCCGGTGGAGATGGTGATATTTCGAATAAAATATCATAAAAAAGTATGCAGAATAAAAGATGATATATTTGGGATTCACAATGTATGCCTTTGGTAAATAACGGTAGGAATAATCAAAAACGAAAATTAATCATATGACATATCAGTGTATAACGCTTGATGTTTAATATTTTTAAATGATAAAATTTAATAAATGGGTTTGATACCGTAAGTTGATAAATTAATCAACGGTGAGTTTTACTTAACCAACGTTTTGACCGGTTAAAAGTGTGAAATAAATACATAACAGGAATGTATTTTGTCAACAACAATTCAACTGTCTTTAGTAATGGGTTATACAGACTGTTGAATTTCATGGAAATCATGGACCGATTAATAACAGATCACCACTGAGAACCTGGAAGCACTGGACGGCCGTTTCGTCCTAGTATGGGACTCCTCCGCAGTGTGCACCCACGATCGCGCACAGAGGACTTAAAACCAGGACTTTCGGCTCCGCACGAAAGCATAAACTCTCGACCACTGAGCCAGGATTCGATGACGTTAATGTTTAATTCAATCAATTCACGATATTGCGCAACTGTCTTCGATTGTATATGGTGGGTAACTTACAGTCAAAACGGTTGAACTCCAATGGTCACGGTTTCTAAATGGAACTCCGAGAACTACCACTCGAAGCTAATAACTAGTGAGAAAATGGTGATTTTCAGTATGGGGTTGTGGAGACTGTTGAATTTCATTGCAATCATGAACCAGTCAGTGTTAGAACCCCATTGAAAACTTGAAAGCACTGGACGACTGTTCACGGGGTACCGAAGATCCTGAGTTTGAGTCTCGCATGCGGATCGTGGATGAGAAATGCTGAGTAGTCTCGTGCTAAAATGAAACAATCGTCAAGTGCTCCCAGGTTTTCAATGATGGTCTAACACTGATCGGCTTATGGTTTCAATGGACACAACTAATCTTTGCGGTTACATAAATCTATATTGGCCTTTCTTTGCACTTGAACCGGATTATATATATATATATATATATATATATATATATATATATATATACGGAGAGACGAAGGGAAAGTAACAGGAAGATAAAACTTGAAATGGAAAGTAATCGTTGTCAGATAAACAAGGGATCATTTCTACTTACCGTGTTCAAAATTTTTATTAGCCATATAATAGCGTACAGTCCATTGTTCAACTGTAAGTAACAAAGTATTGGATTCTTGAGGTGATCGCTGTTGTTGAAGTTTATTCGGTGAAGTATTTTCAAACCATACATAATGTGGACGATGTGTACCGATTTCTTTAGCTGATGCATTAACGGGAGCAGTAATTTCAACCTCGACAAAAAAACACAAGTAAAATGCTGAAAATGGTTATTTACCTATACACTTTAAACTCTATATATAAAAATAATTTCCTATGTCAGAAAAAAATGTCTTACTGGAAGATGAAACTTTTTCCACTAGGAATCCTTAAGTATTTGATTATGAATATAAATCTATCATAGTTGTATACCTCCCATTACTTAATCATACTCATAGGATTTCAGTTTGAAAAAAGGAAATTGTTTCTCTAATAATACACTGAAATAACTAAATGAATAATCACTGTATAGAAATCGATTTGATTCTCGAGAAAAAACAAAAAACCTGCTTGATCATGATAATTTAACATTGAAAACACTTTTCATTCAATAATCAGGCATAAATCAGTGTACTGAACTTTAAACCAAGCTTATTACATGCAGAAAAACGAAACTAAATAGCTAGTCCAATTAAAATGGAAGGGGGATCGGAATTCAAGAGGATTAAGGTATTGAAAGTTAGGCGTTTGAATTACCAAATAATTGTTTCTATTAACATTAAAAGCACATATGAAATATGTGCAAGTAAATTTACTATTATTACTATGATTACAATAATATGATAGGTCTAAGAAATGATTACTTTATCAAACATTCAGAAGTGATAATGACATGATTAACACGATACAAGTTGATATTTATTCAATACGACAGTGATTGAAAAAGAAAGGTCAAGACACAAGATAGAAAACAGTTTGAAAATCATTAGAATAAAATTGAGAAATTTAAATGATTTGTTTATTTGATTGACCGTTCATACGCTAACACTATGCTATTGAGTAGAAGTATAATAGTTATTTGATGGTATATGATTGATTGTTTGTATTGAGATGAAGTGAAAAAGTGATGCTTACTCACGAAAATTGTATTATTCATGTAATCTTTTTAATAGACCAATACTAGAAGAGAAAAAGTTAGACTGTCAAACTGTTTTTTCGGCTAAGTAACAACCTGGCATACAAAATACTTAATACACAAAAAAATATAGAAGACTATTGATAGCTCAGTTTGACGTTAATTCTCAATACAGAATAACTTGAAATGACGAACTGTTGAAAGTAAGTAGACTTTCGAGGAGTCCACATCCACGGTATCGCAAGAGGTTGAATCTGGAAATAGCATTGATACCCTTGAACTACAAAGTTTAAATCCGACTGGAGTAGGGAACAACGTATAAACAAGAAGTCAGATGATAAAACTATGACTGAGGTGATTGAACTACGTATGTTTCGAGTACTAGTATATAATCTACCCACAAATAACTGTACAATTGAGCATTGTAGTAGATTGAAAGAAGGCAACGGCAAAATAAGCAAAAAGATGTAATCAGTTCATTAAGTCAATGACTGTCTAAGACTTGGGAGGAAAAACGGAATCGATCGTCAAGGTTGACAACCCTGAGTTATATGGTTTAAAATTCACCAGACACATACATTCTTTGTTTTACGCTGAATATTGAGTCCTAATATTATTACATACTTTTTAATTCATGAATTCATTCGTTCTACGTTGTTTATGACTGACGTACTAACTGATTCGTTTGTCGAGTAATACCAAACATAAAAGATATCGAATAATTTTAAATACAAAATCAAATTTTATATAAATTAACTAATAAATATGTACCAGACAATATCAAGGAATAGAATTTTAAGTTACTTAGGTTTACTTTAGGCGGTTCTTTGATATCAATCACAAGCGAAGGTATCACCGTGAGTAGTTCTTCGTTTTCACTGTCAATAAAAATTTCATTTGTATGATAAACCTCTTCAGTACTATGATTGTTATTCTTACAATATTTACTGTCAATATTGACAAGTTTTTGAATTCTTCTACGTTTCACTTGAGTGGTTGTATTTTTTATTTCATTACAGTCAGAAGCATTATTTTTATTACAACCAGCATTCGGTGGTCTATTATTAGTAACATTTGTACTGGTAGTAGCAGCAATAGTATGACCATTTTTTGATCTACGGTGATTATTTTCTTCTTTTTTCACTCCATCAAACAATTTCATCAGCTGTTCATGAATTGTTAAACGACGACCAGCTCTAAGACACTGACATTCATTGTATAATTTGAAGTAATTAGTCACATACTTAAATGCTTTAATTTGTTGCTTCTCATGTGTGCCTTGATTAATGATATAACGATTTAACAGATAGCCTAAACGACAAGGACCAAGTTGATCTAGAACACAACCAGTTAATTTTAAGTTTAAAAATTTGTCATCATTATGTAATGACCAAGTTAAAGATAATAATGTTTCAATTAGTTTAATGGCTTCATTATACTTTCTTTGACGTTCATATATATCGATCATTAATAGCAATGAACGAAATGCACGGTATGGTGAAGTGAAACGCCGTAGAAACTGAGGTAGATCAATGCGACGAAACGAAAGGCTAAAAACAAATATAAACAAATAACGAACACGACAAACTAAAATGAAAAAAAGTGATTAATTTAAGCTACATAAATATCATTACTGTAACCACCTTTATTTAGATAACGCAATCAAAAGTCTTTACAGTCTTTTTAAAAACTACTCGATTCTTTCAATTTCAATAGTGCCATGAAGAAACAAAGCTGATTCGGGGAAAAAGTGTGCTTTATTGAGGTAATAAGAAAACATTTTGAGTAATTCAAATTCATATTTTACCTGTCAATCCGTTTTATTCGACAATTGAATAAGTTCACTTGTGATAAAGAAACGTAAGGAAATAGAAGGGTTTAAAGTGAACTAAAATATTTTACGTGGAAACTGAAAACCAACAATTAAGAAATATCGAAGACTGGTATACAACAACCCAAAGCTGTATCAGGTATAGTCTGTCTGGAAGAACAAAGCTGTTATGTTTACGGTAATGAGTAGTCAAAGTCAACACATTTTAAAGAATTTCAATAAATCCACTAAACTATTGTACAGTATCGTTTGATTACCGGTTAAGCGTAGTATCTGCTATTGAAATTTATGTATTTTGAACTGTCAAATTACAGCGATGTGACTGTTACTGGCTTGCAGCCAACATTTCTCTGAAATCTTTACATGGTTATTCATTGTGGTACTATTTATGGCTTGACATTTTTAAATATTAACAATTCCCATTTTGTAAATAAGGGCAACACATATAAGCGAACAATGTTACCTTCAGTTAGATCCTCATCAGGTTTCACTCTAACATACAGTGTATTCAAATTCATATACAAAAATATTAAACTAATCAAAGCAGTTTATGAGCAAATGATAACAACGAAATAGACTATATAACTAAACATGATAAGTAAGAATTTATGGTGATGACAGGTATAATAGTTGTGATCAGAATTATAAAACCTTGAATCAACATTTCATAATAAGAAGTCAGACACTTAGAAAAAGAACTGAAATAACATTCATTAAGAATTATTAAGATTAGATAATGCAATGTGTTCATATAATTAGAAATAAAGAATATATTTGGAAAAAAAGGGGTGATGAAAAATAAACACAAAACGGATATGGACATTTTAAAAAAAAATCAAATAGTTTTCAATTCACCAAACAAGGGTAAATTTTTATAGAATATATGACACAATTATAGGAAACTATTATAAAAATAAACTATGATTGAAAGTGTTATAGAAACAGGAAGTAGTAAATTAACTTTTGGTGATCTATCGGAACTAGAGATTGAAACTATAATATGAGGTCGCATAAACTACTCTTATAAAAAATTTGCCACTGTCTATATGAATGGCAGAGGATATAGAAATATGAAAGCCGAAACATAATCTCTTCAGAAATTTTATATTCACTTTGTTGATGGCTCTAAACAATAAGTCTATTGTTACGAATGGACACACTTCTGTTTTAAACTTTTACTTTAAACTGATAAAAACTATTTTAATTGCATTTCGGCTTCACAAATTATGACTAACATCACAAACTGAAACAACAAAATTAACCAGGTACAGTTATACAGCCGACAAAATCAAGGTATCCAAGAACAAGTGAGCAATGCGAACAGTTTATTTTGTCCAAGAAAAGTTATGGAAAAAACTTTGTACGGAAGGGCCCATAGAGTAGCACTTAGCACGGTCTTTACCTTCAATTAATGAAGGTGAATGACACAGAAATTTCATCATACAGATTTTTGGAACCTTACTTGCATGCGCTAGAAATATATATCTTTAGATAAGACACAAAAATTCGAATAAAAATATTGATCTATAAAGGCGACGAAAATTCGTGCTAAATGAAATAATTGGAAAATGTTTTACAAATGTTGAGGAGTTAATGGCAAACAAACCAAAACTGGGGTTAGCTCAAGAAGTTACTGGTCATTTATATGGATTATTCAGAGGAGTGTAGGTCATCTGATTAGTCGTCAGATGGTACAAGTCGAAATCGATCAGACTGATGCAAGTATACTAAATGTTTATGAGTATGGAACGTTGTATTGCTCTTCAACTATTTGTTTTATCCCTACCAACTTTTCTGTTTATATTTCAACACAGCAAAATAAAATATAATTGTAAACTAGCCTGCTAGTATTGCGCGATTATGCTTTAGGTTACAGCCCTTGTGATTTGACAAAAGATTTAGATTGATATTTGATAGCATTAGTATTTAGTAAACGGCACATGAAACACTTTAGTTACAAATTACAATCCATAAAACAGGCAACCATCAGAATTCCCGAAGAAGGGATATTTGTTTTATATCTCTTCTTGAAATTTCAAATTTTCAATGTGGCTCGATAGCCAAGTACACATTAGGTTACACGATGACAAGAAATAAATATATGTGAGAGGGTTATTGACGCCATCAGGACACCAAAATTAAAGTAGGATGATCAAGGTTATAATTTAAGACCAAATTACTGAGAGTGAGATTTTAAACACGATACTACACACTCAAAGCCACCGTCTTGATTGTGGAAAGCGACTATACGAATTTTAAAGACTACAAATACTTGATACAAATATGACCTCGAAGTCGAATGTAAATAATTAGAGTTACCGCCAAAACAGTTCATAATCTACTAATAAACCTTCGAGAGTCCTCACTGAACCCGAATCTCAGTAAGTATTACCATCAGTCTCACCTCATATTTAAATAGTTAATATTAATAAACAGACTACGAATTGGTTTATTCTTTTTCTCACAATCTAATGCCAATAAAGCTAGGCTTAGGTGGAATGGCTTCAAACACCCTACTTTTAAATGAAATTATAAAACCTATTATACTAGGCCGGCAGTTCACATAACCATTAAATAATAGATGTAATGTAAAGCCTACCATCATAAAAGCGTATATTTAGGTTTAATGTCTAACCAAATATGAAAAAAACTTTTCTGATGAATGCAGAAAATGATAAATAGTTAGTTTTTGTACATGCACAGAATAAAGGTGTAATTAGCAAGAGATTGTCCTTACTTCATAACTTCATCGATTAACTTAGTTTTCTTATCCAAACATAATTGTAAAGCAAGATCATATGATTTTTGACTAATTAAATATTCTAATCGGATTTCCAAACTCATGAATTCTAGAAACCTTTGAGTAAAAGAGGAAAATATAGGTAATCGTATTTAATTGGATTGAAATATGGAACAAACTTTTGGAATTCGTCACTTGTACGATATATTGTAGATTTACGATTGACTACATATGACGGAAAGACAAGTTCACCTCGACGGACAAGCATCATTGCATATCTATAGGAGCAAACAGTAAAACGAATATAATAAAGAAAATCAACCGAAACGAACAAAATAAATTCAATAGAGAGTAATGAATTATCCGTTTACAACAACACTATGTACAGACTGTAATTTAGTTTTGACTAAGACTTTACAACAAGTATAGTATTCAATTTAAAAAGCATATAAGTGAATTATCCTTTAAAATGAGACGTAGATTATTTCAAAATGACTGATTAGAACTAATTACGAATTTTAGAATCCAAATCAATCGATTAGAAGGAATGATGATACAATGTTCTTCAGTTGGAAATGAAACCCCAACTTAATCTATAAGCTTACGCACTTTGGCATGGTCAAGAACAAGCTGCGACAATCCGGTGCATTATGGAATAAAGCTACAAATAAAAACAGTAGTATACAAAGTAAGGTGACCGGATGGAATCCTCAAAATATACTGAACAACCATACACTAGCTGTCTGAGTTGGATGATCACCAAAGATGAAGCTATAAAAACTTTTGAAAGACTCTGAAAAGTTAAACCACGAAGTCTTCATCAATCAAGACGAGGCGATTATAAAACGGGAAAGATTTATGTTATGAGGAACGGTTAACTAGATAACAAGTAATGTGAGTCTAAAATGTCCACTAGGGTATAGTAAACGCACATTTCACTTGTTTACATCTCACGTTGTATCGCTTAAAACTTTTTTGAGTTGGTAGAAAGTCCAAATACTTGTATCACTGTATATGTGAGTTGTCCGGCCAAATTAGCGAAATGGTTATACCTAATGATTTGATTGACTAAAATATACACCGGTAATTTTCACTCAATAATAAGTTAAATGTTAATACAATTAAGAAAAAAAACTTTTCGTACTTAGTCACTGACATCGTTTAACTTGAATGATAATGATGTGATTAAAATAGACACTATTAAGTTTTACAGGTTATTTACGTTTAGAAAAGAAAGTTAAACATTACTAAATTGTGTCATACAGAGTGGATTGTCTTTTCACACATCAATCAAGTTTTTTGTATACAGAAAGTAACCAATGTTAAGAATACTAAGAAACGCATAATTTTTTAGTTGAAATTTACTTTTCTTCAGATTACTTATCTAATGATCATAACAATGTATAGTTATTCCATATACATATAAACGTACAGGATATCGTAATGACATATCTGTCAAAAATTTCCTCCCGTGTAGCTTAATTACAGGTAAATTTTCCAAATTTATAGAGTGTATTCACCTATAGAACCAACTCTTTCGAGGGTGAGGCAATATTTTACCGATTAAATAGCATAATAATCGGAATATATACTACATTGAATGTCAGTGAATAAGAGTATGTTCACTGGAGAAACGTTAAAGCCCTTGGTTCGACCACGTATGGGTCACAGAATCAACACAAAACAATCATTCAGTGCTTACTGATCTTTTAGTGATTACTTATTTTATGTTTGTTCGTAACTACAATCCGGATCCACAAATAAATATAACAGTGTAAAACAAGAAATATGTAAAAAAATATCGCACAGCTCAGCTTTCATAATGGCCTCAATCGATTGCAATTTATTCGGTCTATTATATGCTGATTCAGAACCAAGAGACGTTAACCAAAGTAATTGAGTAATTAACTGCGTGTATGTCTCGTCCACATACCAGCAACCATGAAGAATTCGAGTTATTCTACATCAAAATGGGTAGTCAAAATAAACAAATAATGCTTCACTGTGAAAAGAGGAAATTCGTGAAGGCAAAACATAAAAGATCAGTAATATTCATTTACTTATTTATTTATTTATTCACAAGATAAAATAAAATCATATCAAGCATAGAGAGACTAGGAACAGTTAGTTAGTTAATAATACTGTATGATAAGAGTTTGGATACATAGTTTTCCCGAGCTGATCGCACAGTTTAAAAAGAAAAGTATTTTAAAAGAGAACCTAATGATATTCATCCCGGAATACTTCAGAAATAAAGTGACAAGGGATGCAAATCAGAAATGGTGGACTTCACAACCGAAACCATCTTGTGATATAATATTTCTGATTGATAAGTACAACAACGGAAAAAGCAAAAACAAACGAAAAATGCAGAATTTTACTTTACACTCAGTCAGCGACAACGTAAAACCAGGCACATATATGCATCGGTCCAAATTGCCATACCTCATTAGCACAACAAGATGAACACCGAATTCATAGAAATAGTTAATTCAATGGTAGTAATATATAAAAGAAAAGTTGTATATAAGGATATAGTACTTTTTTACTTACTTACGCCTGTTACTTCTCGTGAAGGAGCATAGGCCGCTCACCAGCATTCTCCATCCAAACCTGTCCTGGGCAATCCTTTTCAGCTCCTCCCAGTTGTTATTCATCCTTTGCATATCTGCTTCTATTTCCCGACATAATGTTTTCTTTGGCCTTCCTCTTTTCCTCTTCCCTTCAGGAGTCTAAGTTCGGGCTTGTCTCGTGATGCAGTTTGACGACTTGCGTAGTGTATGTCCTATCCATTTCCATCGTCTTTTCCTAATTTCCTCTTCAGCTGGAAGCTGGTTTGTTCTCTTCCAGAGAAGGCTGTTGCTGATGGTATCCGTCCAATGGATGTTGAGTATCTTGCGTAGACAGCTATTTATAAATACTTGTACCTTCTTGATGGTGGTTGTTGTAGTTCTCCAAGTTTCAGCTCCATACAGTAGAACTGCCTTGACGTTGGTATTGAAGATTCGCACTTTGATATTGGTTGAAAATTGTTTCGAGTTCCATATGTTCTTCAACTGTATGAATGCGGACGTTTCTTTGCCAGTTCTCGCCTTTACGTCTGCATCTGAACCTCCTTGCTCATCGATTATGCTTCCCAGGTATGTGAAGGATTCTACATCTTCCAGAGTTTCTCCATCAAGAGTGATTGGGTTGCTGTCCTTTATTTTGAATTTGAGGACCTTGGTTTTCTCCTTGTGTATGTTGAGGCCTACTGATGCAGAGACTGCTGTTACACTGGCTGTCTTTGTCTGCATCTGTTCGTGTGTATGCGATAGGAGGGCTAGGTTCAAATCGTCTAATTGATTTTGAGCTGTCCATTGTATTCCGTGTTTCCCTTCAGATATCGAGGTCCTCATAATCCAGTCGACCACCAGAAGAAAAAGGGAGAGAGTAAACAGCCTTGTCTGACTACGGTCCTTACTTGGAATGCATCTGTCAGCTGTAATCCATGCACGACTTTGCATAGTAGTCCGTCGTATGAGTTCCGGATAATATTGACAATCTTCTCAGGAACTCCGTAGTGTCGAAGAAGTTTTCATAATTTCCTCCTATCCACACTGTCAAATGCCTTTTCATAATCAATGAAGTTGATGTACAGTGACGAGTTCCATTCAATTGATTGTTCGACGATGATCCGTAGTGTCGCAATTTGGTCTGTGCACGACCGATCCTTACGGAATCCAGCTTGTTGATCTCGAAGTTGGGCGTCTACTGCATCTTTCATCAGGTTCAGCAACACTCTGTTGAAGACCTTCCCTGATATTGACAGTAGTGTAATGCCTCTGTAGTTCTCACATTTGCTCAGATCTCCTTTCTTTGGGATCTTGACGAGGTGTCCTTCTTTCCAGTCCATCGGAACTTGTTCCTCCTCCCAAATCCTTTTGAATAGAAGGTAAAGCATGTTTGTAGTTACTTCGATGTCTGACTTCAGCTGGTATATTGTCGGGTCCTGCTGCTTTCCCGCTCTTGATTTGTCTGATGGCCATTCTGATTTCATCCTTCGTTGGTGGGTTGACGTCTATAGGAAGATCGGTGTGTGCTGCTTCGATTTCCGGTGGATTCAGGAGTTCCTCGAAGTATTCTACCCATCTGTTCCGCTGTTGTTGAATTTCAGTGATTGGCTTGCCTTTTTTGTCTTTGACCGGTCTCTCTGGTTCACTGTATTTCCCTGATAGTTTCTTCGATGTATCGTAAAGCTGTTTCAAATTTCCTTCCCTTGCAGCTTTTTCCGCCGTCGTTGTTAGTTCTTCCACGTACTTCTTCTTGTCGGCTCTAATGCTCTTGTTCACTTGCTTGTTTACTTCTATGTATTCAGCTTGTGCTTGGACTTTCTCTGCTCGTGTTCGGCTGTTGTTTATTGCTGTCTTTTTGTTCTTCTTTTCTTTGATCTTTCCAGTGTTTCTATAGAGATCCACTCCTTATGATAGTGTTTCTTTAGACCCAGAACCTCTTGACACGTTGAAGTTAATGCTTCTTTGATGCTTTTCCAGTTGTCCTCCATATTAGTTTCTTCTTCCTTCAGTAGATCCTGTAAGGCTTGGAACCTGTTGTTGAGAGCTATCTTGAATTCGTTGATTTTGTTAGTATCTCGAAGGAAGGCTGTATTGAACCTTTGTAGTACTGCTTGTCCAGTTCTTCTTTAGCTTCAGTTTTAAATTGGCCACATCTAGGTGGTGATTTGAAGCTATGGCAGCTCCTCTCCTGGTTCTCACATCTTCCATTGTCCTTCGGAATTTTTTATTGATGCTTTGATGATTCTGGAACGGTGAGATTTCCATCCTACAAGTGCATTTCGTGTTTCTTTGGACAGCATTAGAGCAACTCCCTGAGTGTGTGGAGCATTGTCCTCTTCGTGACCGGAGTATAGCAGCATCTCTCCCGTATTTAGCCTTTGTTGTCCAGCTTGGGTCCAATGAGTTTCGCTGATTATCAGTACTGCCAAGTTGTATCTCCCCATTTCCGTTGCTATTTGACTGGTCCTCCAGGTCTCCCACATTGTTCGGACGTTCCATGTACCTATAAAAATTGTTGCTCTGGTTGTTAGAAGGGGCATCGGCCTCGTGGCTTCCGAAGGAACTCGGTTTTCACCATGAGGCGTCATAATTCTCAATGAAGATGCTTCAAATCGGGCACAGTTTAAATGGTTTGAATTATTTTTCCTGGTTAGCGTTTTTTAGCGAGTTAGTTTTCTACGGGATGGGAACACTAACCCCATGCCCAACCCTCTTCCTTCAACCGGGCTTGGGACCGGCAGTAACTCTAGAAAAGCTACAGGCGGAGATAAGGATATAGTACAAGAAGAAAGAATTAGGTCGTAAAAAGAAAGATATAGAGCAATTTTAATATCATAGTTTAAGGGAAGACAGCGAGCGTGTGCACCTACGCTATTGTGATCAATTTTGAGCCATGTCACTCAGAGTCTCCAACCATTGGTTACGATAGTCATGTGAACCCCAACCAAGTAGCCTGCATCTACCAACATGGCTCAGACTACAAGTTGGTGACTTTAAGCACTGATGCCACATTACAATGGTCACAAAAAGTATTGAAAGTTGACATGCAAATCAATTTTTTTCGTTTTCATGATAACAGACAGATAAAAGATTAGGTTCTATAGCTTTTTTACTGAAATACACTGAAAAATAATTCGTGTCACGTACGGAAGTGATGGAACATGAGAAAATACAGTTTAAGTCTGGTAAAGAAAGAAACTCTTTACAGTAAACTTAAGTCACATACGAAATAAAGAAATTGAAAAAATCAAATAGATAATTGGTGGAAGTAATATGGTGTAAAAAAATTCAACTGCAATATAAGGACTAGAAAGTTGATAGCTTACCAACAGACAACGTAAGACTTGTTATGGACGTGTATCGGTCCAATAAGCCACACATTTTGCGGTGACAGAGGAAACTAAGACAGGCGATAAAGAGCAAATAATGTTCCCAATATCAGTAAGAAACTAAGCATATAAAATGTTCTTAGAAAAAAGAACAGGATCGAGGAACTGAAACTATGGAACAATACTATGTTCAAAATGTACTGTTATATCCTGAAGAAAAATAAATGAATGGTAACTGCTAGGAATTGTTTATGGATTGTTATTATAAACATATTTTCGTATTGTAGAATTATTAATCAACTAGGTTGTAAATATTTATATTCCTTTTATCATAAGCTTTTATTTGACCTATTGACTACTATTATACAATTTATTATGCTTATGTTCAATTTCTCACAATCACGGCCACTTTTGGCTTGATCCTGTATAATTGTTATTTTCTATTTTATGGCATGATGCGGTCCGATTTGCCTGCCTATAAACTGTGTATGTCTGAAATACATGATTCATACAGTGGAAACTAAGATTGTGTTCTGGACTCAAACGGGAAGGGCTAGACGAGAATAACCAACAGACTCAGAGTTGACTCTAGGCTGCTCATGCTGCTTAACGCGTCACTAATTTGGCACAGGCTCAAGGTCGTATACGCCTTTGTTTTGATTGGTGATCTTGTTATGTGATAATTGACGGGGTATAGGCCATAACATAAAGAAGGGTAAAAAATGAATAGAACTGCGCTATTGCCCGATTTTGAGTTATGCCACCTAAAACCTCCGACTACCGTGCTCTTCTCGGACGATTAGGTGATCCGCATCTCACCACTAGCATTTAGTGAATTTATTCATTGTTATCAAATCAAAGTTTGAGCACCTCTAGAAAAACCGTATACATGGTAGTTGAACATGTGTAAAACCTTGCGATCACTAAAATTTGATGAAACGCTATAACCTCGTTAATTGACTTGACACTCTTACTGCAAAATTTGAAGACAATCACAATGTTATCTAGCCACTAGCTATTCCGCCTTAATTCCACTAAGGAAAATCATATACTGAAATAAGTTTTAATATTAATTCCATGCTGAACGTCTTTTTAAATTAAGTATATATTAGAAAATAATGAAGTTTATCAGTTTTAGACAGTAAATTGTGTCAACTTAATGACGTAGAAAAATCTCTTTAAACAAGATTATGTTTGCAAAAAAACAATGTAATGATACATTTTTGACGGTGTCATTTTATTCCCACATCACTTTCTAACTTGCGAACACAAAAGATTTTATTGAGCACGTACATAGAGCTATCTGGAATGATTTAATTTTTGAGATAGTTCTCTAGTAAAAAGAGCGCCTATAAAATAAGGAGAAGAACAAAAAAATTAATCCTAACGTTAAAGTAACCTTTTTGAATAGATAAAATGGAATATCAAAATTCTCTTTTCAACTTACAATCCTTTAAGTCTATCTTTACTCTGAATAGAAACTTTGACAAATGAAGCCATAGGTGAAACAGATGAAGTCTTCAACAAGGTGTCTCTTAACTGAATCATTGTTAAACTTTTGAAATTCTTGATGTTGTACATCCCAGCTAACTGGTCCAGCTCCTGACGGTTAAGAGCATGTATCAACATTTCGCTTGATAACGGCTGCATATCTAAAGCAGTAGGCAAGTTATGGGTTTTTAATTACAGCTATAACTAAACCTGTACAAAGAAACCTTAAACCGTTTAATTCTCTTAAGCACTGATCAATATCATTCGGAATAATTTTCATGAGGTCTGATTTTCGGAAAATCTTTTGAGATCGACCATATAAGCGAATAATCAATGATTTGGAAAGATCTGTTCAAAAATTAAAAGCATAGTTAGCAAATGGAAATACTCACAACGTACTCGATATATTTCTAAAATTTTCGAACCATTTCTGTTCACTTTCACTGAATAGCTCGGAAAAGCCAGACTCTCTCGAAAGCATTATTAAGACATCATTTATTGACTCAACAGCGTATGTATTGCCAACTAAGAGGAACTTTAGAAAGTTGCAGTCAAAAACGGTCTACCTAGACTTGATGAAATACTTTCCGGAACACTGTCGAGGCTATCTTCGGGTGTTATTTCGTCTAACTTCATTTTAAGAACAATTCAGTAAATAAGCAGGACCATATAAATTCAGAATCTGATGAAACTAATAGTGCATATTTAATCCACCAACTCATCTGTAAAGAGAAAAATTATTAGATCATGATTGGTTGCAAAAATTCAAATATTGTTCTAAAGAAGACAAAAAAGTATGCGATAAAACTTACCACAAAAATGAACTCAAAGTAAAAGTGAAGGTTTGACGAAATGAAAAAAATTACATCTTAACATGTATGTTGATGACCATATATTTTGGACTTAAAAGCATCCTGTTAGGAAATAAGGCGAATTGTAATCACATTGTCTCATTCGTAGTCTGATAAGATGTGCTATGTAAGGAGAGCCACGAATACAGTCAGTTATGAACGCAGTACCTAGCGCGAATGTGTATGGGCTCACATTCCTATACCATCAGGTTAACAACGAAAAATTAAAATGAGAAACTGGGGTAAGAACTTTATTTCTATAAGAAATACAGTTTGAAGGTAAGAAACAGGATCAAGGAATGAAAATTTAGCTTTAATTCACTAGGAATATATGACAAGATAAAGAATAAATGCAACAGCGACTGGTTTTGCACTAAACCTAATTTATTCAACCAGAAATTCTTCAGGTGTAGTTTTAAGCATAATTTATTCTGAAATCAGTAAGCCGTATAACCAAAGTAAGCTATTTTTGTAAACATAAGCCCAGAGGCCACGTTGCCTAACTCTGCTCATTACGTAACTGCTTGTTTCTAACTTTTTACCGTTAACCTAGTAGAACACTCTTTGGATATATACATTGAGTGAGTATATATTTAAAATTTTACCCAACCTCTCAAATCTTTGCTGGCCAAAGTAATATGCGATCACAATGAACTCCAACTAAAATTGTTTTTGTAAGTATTTTTAACCCTCTCTATAATCTTGATTTTTAAATGTTAGAGGTTATTAGCAGCTAGCAAGAACCTGGCGAGATAAAACAAATTCGTTTCACTCACTTCAAATATTTGTTTTTGCTTTTTCGAAGATGACGGTAACTGTATATGAAGTGGTCGCTCCCCCTAAATTTCAAAATATTTTTATTTTGCAACTTACAACCATGTAGTACTTGTTGGCTATACCTTAGTACACTTTCAAAAACTTCCTTTCATTGATTTACACATCTATGACAGCTTCCAATTACTGACTCCTCCGGTATTTTCTCAACGTTTGTGCGAAGATATCGAAAAGTCGATTAAATGAAATTTCTAGACGATAATATACGATCATCTTGAACATTAACAATGACATACGCAGGTTGCTTGAGAGACCCAATAACGCATATTTAGTGAATAAACAATTATATGATTTGACTGAAGTTTTATTTTGGATGACATCGAAAAAGCAAACGCTTCGGGTTATTTCTTCCCTATCATAACGCTATTGATGCTACACATCTTAAAAAAATTTCCCAACTGAGGTTCTAAATAAAGGTATTATCTACAGTGCTACAACGCTAAATGATTTCGACTTTGACAAGAAACAACTGATTAGTTGACGCGGTAAATTTGTTGTCAGGAGTGTTAAACGAAGAATAAACGGCAACTTGTGAACCTCTATAAAACTGGAGGTGGCTAAAATGAAGGTTGGATATGTTCCTGTTGAGTTTCCAGTCGCCATCATTTTGACTGGGAACTTTTCGCTAATAGATAATTAAGTATCCACTAAGTACATGCTCATAAAGCAGTCCTTTCGAAACATAGTTGTTCTCAACACCGCCCCCATCTTCTGGTGCTGGTGTAAACGAGCACACTGCACTCATACTAAATTTTATAAATAGGTCTCACACTGATAACGTACCATGGCGAATTATTCTTAAAGCGACCGCTGATTTATTCACTGAGATCGATTAACTGACTACTTACATCAGAAGCTCATCCGACGTAGTCAAAGACAGAATTATTTGCTGAAATCTTTTTTAAAATTCCGGTTAAGAACACAAGAACCGCGTACCCCAGAAGCTGCATTGGAAGAACGGAAGTTCTGTGGTCAGTCCGTAGGTTGATAGTTTTTTGTGAAATTCAAGGTGATGAAACAGTTCGAGATTATTCGCAATGATCCTTGGAAGTCCATGACAGCTTGTTTAGCTTACGTGTCGACGCCTGAACTATTATTTATACCTTATATGGAACTAAAGTCGAAATTGGTGTAACTACCGATTCTACAGGACAACTCTTAAATAGTCAAGATTACAGTCAGCATTTTTTATAAGATCTGTGTTAACTGTTTAAAAGTTCGACCTGTCCCAATTATGAGATAACAGGCGATGGATTTTGCAAGCCAGGCGCCCTACCCAAGGAATAATGTAAACAGTGTGAATAGCAGTTTAACGAAAAGGCAAGCTTAATAAAAGTTAGGAGTTTATTGGCTATCTGTGGATGTTTCCACTAATTTTGTACACGGTTTATCTTTAAACTACTATTTACTGTATACTTTCGTGTCAACTGGCTTCACAAGTACTTACCAACCTAACCGTAAGTTTTTAATTCAGCAGACATCTTTACATTACCCGTCACAGTTAATATACTTTTCAAGTGCCGCTATGGGTATCGGCGGTGTAGATTCCCATGATAAATGATTGTTATCACATTAGGCATTTTTCGTCCACAAGTATCTTGAATACTTGATGTTACGTTTATCACACAGAACTGCTTTTTATGTTTCTTGAACACAGTTAATAAAAGTTCGGTTTATACGTAATAAGCACACCAACAACTTGATCTTAATTGGAGAGAACATGAAGATGTTAATTACTCTTTTAAAATGTATATATACTTCTCCATGTACAACGCTTATGGAAGCTACGTTGATCATCGTCTTTAAAAAGATATGCGATGTGAAAAAAATGGCTTAGTGTATTCGAAATTGCAATAAGTTCGGGAAATCCACTGCAAAGAAGAAAGACGTTCATACACAGTGAATTCAGCGTAAAATTTAGAGTAACACTCAAGGAATTCCATGTAGCTTCCCCGAAATGTCAGGGGAAATTTGGGGTTTTATCAGTGAACTTTAATGGATTTCCTCTTAAATATTGGAAATACCAGGTATATTTTAAGGAAATATTGAGGATTAATCAAAATATCCTAAAAGGTTTGGGAATTTGTCTTTGAGTAACTTTAGCTTTGGAAAAAATCACGGATGTGGAAATACTTTTATGTTTTAAATTTTATTTTATACAAAACCTTACTCAGAATTCCCCTAAATTGAGTGAATTTAACCTGTAATTAGGAGATTGAACTATAAATTACGGTTGCATACGGACTGATTATCTCTAGTCAGAATGTTTTTCACTAAATTTTAAGGCTCATGAAAACCAAAGTCCAGAAATTCTCCTTTGCTGATATATTATTAGTCTAAAAAAATCACGGCAGTGAAAGTTTTCACAACGCACCAAATTGTGAACAGCGGCGTTACTCTCTCGTCACATTATATTGGTCCTTGAAGATTATTATAACAATAAACAACATCACTAAAGAAATTTTTGTCCGTTTTGTTGAAAAACTTTCTCGTCCTCCCTTGAATTTTATGAATACATTTACATTACTCAGTCACTTGATTACGGGTTAAATTCGGGGAATTATAGGTAAACCTCAGGGTTTCCCTAAAGTCATGTGAAAACTCGTAGTTTTCCCCCAAAATTTAGGGAAACATATGGAACAAAATCAGGGGACTAAAATTCTAGGTTATAAAGATAAAATTTCTCCTAACGCGGGCGCTACTCAAAAAGAACAGTTGTATTTTTCCTCTGAGTGCTTTTTATAGTATTGATCGTTAAAATACGCATCAAGACCATTGTTTTTGCTTTAATTGAATTTATTTCAGTTAAAGTAATCCCCAAGAGTACGGCTTTTTCTCTAGAGGAGTTTGTCATCTGCATTTTACTAGTACAGATACAAAAAAACAAGGGACTGGTACTTATTTTTCGTTGTTCAATATGTCTTTGATGATTGTTTTTATCCATAGGTATTAAAGTCTTTTTGTAACTACAGAAGTCTGTGTTTTTATTGTTTTTATTTATATATCAACGTAAAACAAATCTATGGTGCAACTGAAGCGTCCTTGTGACAGACTGGTATGCCGTTTCCCTGTCGATGATGGGATGCAGTCACAACTGTAATAAGTGGTATCACAATGAGTTCACCAGACTCACATCAGGTGATTATAAACGGTGCTGTAAGCCATTGTCACCTTGGTTGCGTAAAGAATGTTGCTAGGTTTGAGCACGACCTCAGTCAAATTAAGTCTTTGATAGACAAGCTACTCGCAGGAACAGTTTCAGGAGTTAGCATCTGTAAGATTTATGGAATAGGACAAAAGGTGGATTCTGAAAGTACTCGTAAAGCCCACCTCTTGACGGTTACCTTTTCTACGGTTGAAGAAAGAGACATTAAACTAGGAAACTCACGCAAACTGGTTTGATCCGGAATACACGTCCGTGAGGATGTCAGCCAGGTTGAGACGAGCTGCAGACAAAGCTGTACTCAAGCAGCCTAAAAGAATAGTCTCGTACATAAATTACAGAACAAGGACGCATTATTGGGTTCCCAACCTGATTAAAGAAGGGAGTGAATCTAAAATGATAGACGAAGATCAGGTAAAGTAGAGGATATGGTTAACTATTTTGGGGTAGTTCTCACTCAGGAACCTCTTCTAGACAAAGAATCAGACCCAAATACAAAACCAGAAAACCGCCTACTCACCGTGGACTTTGATTAAGACGATGAACTACACCTCTAAATCCTGAGACATATTACACAATATATTGCAGCCCCACTGACCGTGATATTCAATATATCACTTGAACAAGGTGTGTTACCTACGGACTGGAAGGATGCAATCATCACTCCAATACATAAAACAGGGCCAAGACAACTTCCATCGAACTACAGACCTGTAAGTCTTACCAGTGTTGTAGTTGAAATAATGCGAAGAATAGTCAAACAGACCATAATGACATTTGTGGAAACCAATAACCTGTTAAACAACGAACAAAATGGTTTCAGAGAGGGTTTAACTGATCTAAAGAGTGTCTGATGCCTATCAATGCGGTAAAGTGGGTCTTCATTCACTTTTTGGATACAAATGTTAATAGGTACAGCATAGGGGGAATGCCTGTACCCGTGGTCCGCTCTCACAAGGATATCGGGGTCGACAATGAGTCATGATCTTAAGACGATAGTCGATTGCAGGGAGGTGGCAGTTAAGGAGTTTAAAACCCTCTGGGATTTTAAACGGACATTCACTAAGTTAGATACTATCATGTTCACTACAGTGTACGGAACCTTAGTGAGAACTAAGCTTGAGAACTGCATTAAGGCTGCAAGACCCTGTTTGAAATGTGACTCGGATATCTTGACAAAAGTAGAGAGGGCAGTTACCCGTGCTACTCTAGAACTCAGAGGTTTACCATACAAAAAGCGTCTTCAGAGGCTTGACCTCTTTACTCTGTCCTAAAGCAGACTAAGGGATTTAATTTTGATGTATAGAATACTAAAAAATGATTTTGGACCCAACATATTCTCTCTTTTTCGACCCACTATTTCGGGACATCTCAGAGGACAACTGACTCACTACGGAGGAGACTGCAAACTCATAGAAGCATTCTAGAAAACGAATAACATCGGCCGTATGTCTTCTGTCTTTACTACACATATCTGAATCTGACCCTGGGAAATTTTAGGGGTTTTGTGCCATTTCTCTTGTGGCTCCTCTAAAATTTCAACAAAACTGACACAATATTCCATCAAATCAAAAGATTAGTTGGGGTCTGTTTCCACATCGTTTGAGGAAGATTTTCAGTATCTTAATCCTAGTTAAAAGTTAGATGCAGTTCATCCAGCTTTCTGGGATCCAAGGATCCCATATAAACCAATAGGACGCACCTGGGGCTTTTTATTTGTTCGAAGTTCACGATACATATCTCAATTGACAACAAAATTGCCCAGTATATCTTTGACGATCATGAATTAATTAGTAGGTTTATTTGGACTCACTCTTGATGTTGTGTAGTTGTCCAATCTTTCTCGGCTACTTCTAGTGACATTTGTCCAACCTTTTGACTG